TAACTGCCCCTATCACTTTACTGGATTCCTGTTCATTCTCAAGGTACAGCTCAAATGCCAAAATCCCAATAAAATGTCCTGCTGCCGATCCTAGTTTTGGGTAAAGCAGTTTATTTTTTTCAATAGAAATGTATTAGTATTTTCTTTATAGCACCTAAACAATGTCTTCAGTTGCTTAGTTGTGCACATTTGTGCATCTAAATAGATTTAAGGAAACAGAGCAAAGACCTCTAATGAAACTTTGTGCCCTCACATTAAATACCACTGTGCTCTGCATTTCCTAACTTCTTAAACAAAGCTTGAATTGAAATGGTTTGAGTACTGTCTCAATTCAGCAAATCAAAGGACACTATAAGTGTCCTGATCTTCTTTGCTTCATTTTGTGGAGACTATCCCGTATGGCAGGGAAAATAAATAAATAAATATAAATACATATACATATATTTATATATTAATCTTTAACAGATGAGATCAGGATTGAAAATTATTCTTTGCTTTTTGTTCCACGTTATTTTCAAAAGGATGTCTGATACATACATATGTATTCTGATATATATTTGTACACATACGCAAACATATTTACCAAAATCTCTGCTATTCTACCTGCAGTGCTGAGATTTTTCTTGTAAATGGTACCAAAATGAATGAATTAGCCTGGGAGCTTTTGCTACAGTGACCTACAACAATCTTTTTTCAAGGCTGATGGTTTGACAGGCTTTTACTTTAAGGGTCAAGGAATATTTACAAACTGTATCTTAACAGTATTGAAAAAGGATCAGTAAGTATATATACTCAACTGGTATTTACATAATCACTCATCAATCAAACACTGTGTTTCCCTTTAAATTCATGTTATTTACATTATTTACAATCTTTATACAGGAAGAAGTTACATCTCCAATCAATGAAAACAATGTCAGTGGATCATTTCATGCCATCCTACACAGGAGTCATTTCAAAAGGAGAAAAGGAGGAACTAATTGTACAAACAAATCAAAAAATGATGGTTGGCTTTATTCAGAGTCTTAAAAACCATATGAGTCTAGTATTACTCATATTTCTTAATAAAAATCTACTTCCCCTTGTAATTGTTGAGTGAAAGCCAAGAATTATTTTAAAAAATCTTACAATGCTTGGGACCAGAATTGTTTCAAATTTCAGACATTTTTTAGATTTCAGAATTGTTGTTCTAATCTGAAAATCCAAAATCTAAAATGCTCCAAAATCCAAACTTTTTGAGTGTTATGGTGATGCTCAAAATTCTTTTGATTTCTTGTTATTTTGGATTTACTGACAATTTCTGGCCATTTGGGGCTTTAGGATTAGGGATGTTCAACTTTTATACGTTTTTGCTTCATGCTATTACAGTGTAAGTTTCTTTAGGAAGGATAACATATAAACTTCTAATGTATATACAGAAGTCTCAATTTCTAGAAGTACTAGTTGTATATAAATTCTATTAACATCTGAGAATATTAATTCTCAAGGCCTGTAATGAAAGACTGATTTTTTAAATGTGATCTAGATGTTTGTAAACCTACATGTACGTGCTAACCATGGGAACAATTCCTGCTTCTACCTCCAGCAGTGACTTGGTGAGATATCTCTGACAATGATGGACACATAAATTTATCTTATTTTTCTTTCCCCGTCACACTGACAAAACCCTGCTATCAGTTTTCTTTGGATGGTCACAAGAATTTGGCAACTTTCCCACCTGGGATTGACTACTCATTCCTTCCAGGCTTTCAGGCTAAAAACTGGGGAGTCAATCTTCATTTCCACACTTCATATCCAGTTTACAGAAATCCTGTGACTTTACAAAAAAAAAAAAAAGCCAGAAGCCAATTACATCTCAAGCCCTCCATGGTTACCAGCAGTCTAACCATCACATCTTATCCTAATTATTGCAATATTCTTTTTTTTTTGTAAATGTATTTTATTTTTTAAGCAACGATCAAAATATATTTGTGCTACTGATTTCTTCAAATATTGAATGAGATCTTTACAAAACTTGTCCACTTTGATGTGTTCTTGTACAACTTTAGAATCTGTAAAGACTAAAGACCGAGACTAAAGGTGTTACAGTGCTGCAAATGATGCCAGACGTCTACATTTAACCAAACACATCTTCCAAGGTCCCTTGATTTTGAGCATTAGGAACAAGAGAGGACTATGTACTGAAAGTTTCATTTAAAAGCTTTTTGCATTTTTTATTTAAATATGACCGTGTCTAACATAGCTGCCAAAAACTGGACAATATTTGAAGTCATAAGTACATCCACATGTTCTTCTAAGTGATGTTTGGGATCCTGCTTGCCAACATTCTTTATTGCCAGGTGTTCAGGTGTCATCTTACCTTCTTCTTCTACAGCCTTATTATAATTCTCGGCTAATTCCAACATCTTTTACCACTGATTCATTGTGTTTACAATGTTCACAGTAGTCCTGAAGTGTCAAACCTTCTATCCAACTCTTCTCATGCAAATTTAGCAACATCTTCTGTTCCAGTTCATTTTTCCAATAATTAATGGTGATGGAGTAATGTCTGTTTAGTCCATGAATTAATCCCTGGATGGATGGCTTACTTAAGTGACCAAGATCTGAAGTTGTTTGTCTTGGGTCATGTCCTAAGACCATCATATAAGCATTGATCAATCTGAAGGCATCAATAAGAACCTTTCCTTTTACACTTTGAATGGGATCCACAACCACTGCCACAGCTCTCTCCGACAAGGCTTCAAAGCTCTGCCGAGTGTTGATATCCACACCAGAAAGCCAACAACCAAAGCCAGGGTGACTGTGATACCAACCAACAACCATCTCAGACCTTCCTGTTTGCTTCAACATAGCTAACATTTTGGCTTAGAATACTGAATCAACTGCTTCTACACTGACACCTATTCCTGACTGTGGCACAGCAAACACATCAGTCACTCTGACAGTGTAATCAACAAATTCTCCAAGCATCAGACCCATAACTTCCATTGGAACTCCAGCAGGACCATGCTTTAACATTTTTAACAGTGCCAGCGAAGAGATATAGACTTGTTCTGCAGTGTCCACTGCAGGAGCATTTGCAGGTGGCCTCTGGCCCAGTCCAGGCATACCTCCTCCCAAGTTTAAGAAGTCTGTCCATATTTCTGTTCAGTAACTGTAACTCTTTAAGGTGTTAAGCTTCAATTTGTCTAGTTAACAAATTTCTTCGTAACTCAAAGTCTTGCTAATTCCAGCAAGTATAATTTTTCCAAGTATTTTTTCATCTCCTGGAGGGCGACCCTCGTCTTACTCTGCGGTAACTTGGTGGCGGTGGCGACAGCTGCTCAGACTTGGTCCAGCTGTGGCTCCGTGAACTGGCATGAATCAGCCCAATTCCATTCAAAAAGTGACTGCAGTACTCTTAACAGGGCCCCCAGCTCCCACCCTCACCCTCACCCTCCATCGTGTGACCTATCCTTACCACAGAAGCCAGTGTGATCCCTTTAAATGTCCTATCAGACTATTCCTACTTTTTCATTTTGTTGTTGTTTTTGTACCAGGGATCGAACTCAGGACCTTGCACTTGCAAGACATGTGCAGTGCCACTGAGCTAAATCCCCAGCCCTTTCGTACCTCTTATTCAAGTCACAGCCCTTAACAAAAAGCTTATATTGTCCTAGGCCTTTAGATCCCCGACCTGCCTTTGTCCCACTTACACTCAGACTTTTATCTCTACCTCCCCCTGCCAGGAATGCGCTTTCTCCATGCACCTGCATGGCTGTGCACTGCTTCTTCACTATCCTGCCTGCCCTGCTTACATATGTACATGTCTACGTACACCTAAGAATCTCCTAATCTGAGCTCTGGTCTTCTCCACAACGTTGGTCATTCTCTAATTCAGAAGTTCCTAACTGTGGCCCCTAGAACTTAACAGGTTCTGATGCTGATGGCAGTGGTTCGGGGCATCTTTGGGAACCACTGCTTCAGGGTAACCTCTCCTCCAAGCCTCTCAATCTTTTTGACTTGGGTAAGGCTTATCACACTCAAATTTCAGGACCACCTAAAGTGTCTTGGAAAATTCAAAAAGCTGGATGCCGTTTCTAGTTTCTGATTGAGGAAGACAGGGTTAGGGCCTGAGAACTGCACTCCTCACAATCACCTGTTGAGGACCACTGGTCAAATACATGTGATATACTTTTATTTAATATGCCCATTTCTTCTCCATTCGAATGTAAACTCGATGGAAGCAGAGTTTTTCTTGTTTTCTACTACTTCTTGCAAACAGTGCCAGGCACATAGTAGCTGCTCAATGAATACAAGCTGAATGAAGAAATGAAAATGGCTTATCCTAGCGTTACATCAAAAAGTGTACCCTAATTTTATACTTGGATTTTATATGAAGAAATACAAGTACAAAGTTAGAAAACATTATATAGTTTAGTCCCCTCATGCAAGAAAGCATTTTTAAGCATTGGGCCACAAAGACAATGGGGATTTCCTGTTATTTGGGAAATAAATAATTATTAACAATTTACATTAATTATTTTAGCATTAAACAACAATAATAAACAGTTGTAGAATGTTACCACGTGCTAAGCACTTCATGTACGGTATGTTGCTTAATTCTCATAACAAACACGGAGGTGGCTAGTGGTATCACTTCTATTTTAGGGAAAAGGACTCTGTTACATTATGTAGCCCCCTAGTCAGTGGCTCCCATGGTTACCACACTGTCCTTTCTCTTCATGTGCCTTCTCAATGTACCTGTGAGCCAACAGGGAGGATATGAAATAGGAGGCAACAGTTTTAGTGTACACATATGTTAAGGTTTCAAATAAAACTAGTGAAACTATGTTTACCTCTTTTAGAAAGATAGTCCTAGCTGGTTTTCAGTTATGATGATGTTCTTCAGAGCTATAACAGAGCACTGGGTTCCTAGATACAAATGCTGAATGCTTTAACTGTTTATGTATTTTGTGAAAGATCTGAGAATATTTTTCAGGAGGCATGTTTTTTGGGGCTTTTTTTTTGTGGATAATTTAGAATTGTTCATTCAATCTATGTACTCTATCAAACCTTGCACAATAGCATCATATTTATGTGAAGAATAATTAACACAAGTGGTTATGAGTTAGTGATTCATTTTCTTTCAAACAGGCAATTAGAATAGGTATCAGTACACTTCTTCTTGAAGGGCAAGATAGTAAATATTTTAGACTCACAAGCCACACAACTTTGTGCAAAGCAAACAAGACAAAATATAAATGAATGGGTAAGGTTTCATTCCAGTAAAACCTTATACTACAGGTGAACAGCCATGGCCACAGCTTGCTGACACCTAAAAGGATTCCAATCCAAGTGGCATGAATGAAAGGGTACACATAAACTTCAGGGAAATTTGTCCAATTCACCTTAAAAAAACTGTTTCTTACTATAGAAACATTTGTACTCCTATAACTAAATATAAACACATTTAAAAAGGACAATTCTACCATGCAAATCAAAAGGAATATTTGGCTTTATAATAAGCTGAACTAGTTAAAAGAATCCTTGTATTTATTTTCTATACAGCACAAACTTAGGTGATAGATACATTAAGTCCATAATTCCCCACAAAACTTACAAACTTAAGGACTGAGAATCTGAAGTCATATAATCTTCTGCATCATTCCATCTATGTACTCTGTGGAATCCATTTCACAGCAGCTAAGGAAAACCTTAACTTAAAGCACCAAGTTCCTAGGCACTACTACAAATGATTTCTCATTTTTTAATACATACAGTCAGACTGCCAATGAAGCAAATGCCAATTCACCTTAAGCTTCAGTGGATAAAGGGAATTGGTAAGGAAATCCAAGTTCCTCTTGAGTCTAAATGCGACTCTACTACTTGACCTCAGTTTTATTTTTTCATAAAGTTTTAAATTTTTAATATAGTTATATCTAGTATGAATGTAAATTAAGGGTTTTGACATAATATCTTTTGTATTTATCTATCATTTTCAGATGTTCATACGTATTTTGTAAATGTTGAGGAAAACAAAAACATGATCTCTAGAATATTCTGGCCATCTTTATCAAAAGTTAAATTTAGAATTTTATAGCAAAGTAATGTGGTTTGTCCAAATATTACAGATTTTTAGAAAAGTCCCTTAATGAACCTGAATTAAAAAGCTTATTCCCAATATAATTTTATAGTGGTTTGTTTTCACTTTTGAAGTAGGGTTCAACTAACATGAGCCCTATTTACTTAGATTATGGGATCCACTAAACAGACAATGAAAACTGGCTGAGTCTGCTGCTGAATGCTTCAGTAGGAATCAGATAGACACAGATTTCATTGTCACATTCAATGGAACTGAAGTCCCCCTTAAAACTGTGCTCCTGATAGGCTGATGATAGAGTAACGGACTGTTAGTTTCTTATGCCAAAAATACACAAATCTCTCGTACAAAGGCTTCATTCTCTGCCTGTTGTCAGTAACTTGAGGGCTTTCTGTAGATTCTGTATGGCTGTGCTTACGTCCTCATACTGCAAAGCACTGCCAGCATATTTGCAGTATTTCTGAGCTCTAGCAAAGTCCTCTGGAGTTAGACGGACATCCCCTAGAAGAAAAAGATTAAGATACTTATTAGACTGTAAAAATTGCTTTTTGGTTATGTATGTGCCTCCCTTTGAAATTAAAGAAATTATTTAACATTATGCAAAAACAAAGTTTTTTTCAATCTCATTCATTTTGATACATTTTCTCCATTCTTTTCAGTATTTAATTACTAAAATAAATCACAGTTATGGCAATATAAAATAACTTGTACGAATAAGACCTCCTACTTCCAAGCAATAACTTAGATGTCACTACATTTTAGCAAATTAACTGCAAAAACTCAGCTTATTTGAAAAAAGAAGAGTAGCTTTGAAGTTTACGCTAAAAGGACTGAGCGAGCCTCTCTCTTCACGGAACAATACATGCAGACTAAACCATTCAACCTTCATTTAGCTAGAATATACAGAAAATGTAATCCTCAATAAAAAAAGGTGAACACACACTTATGTAAAAAGCACATCATTTAACACTTTTAGAATGAAAATATTTTACATTTTTGTGCAATTCAAATAAAATTTCCTGTTTCTCCAATTTTTTTATCATTGAAATACAAACATGAAAACCATTACAAATTATTTGTCTAAAATTTATTCCCAGCAAGTTTTCTAGTTAAACATGTAATTAATATATATAAAGAGCCCAACTGAATAATTTGGTTAAACAATACACTGATAGGGCCGGGGGTTTGGCTGAGTGGTTCCACCGCCTGCCTTGCAAGCGCAGGGTCCTGAGTTGGATCTGCAGCACCAAAATAAACCAACAAACCAAAAAACCAAAAAAAAAACAACAAAAAAACCCCACTGACATATATTTAATCTAAGACATGATTATACTTGAATATGTATTTCTAAAGACAAGCTCAAAAAGTGACGTAGTATATTTATTGAAATACTCCTTTCTTTGGAAATTTTTATGAGAACTGGAAAGTGTTACTAAGTAGAAGGCTAGGGGCACAGAATATAATAAGTTTTTTAAAGTTGTTTTTAATTTTTGCCATCAATAGATATAGTATAAAATGAAATCTTTGATATTACATAGATAAATGGTAGCAATTCCAGATAACCTGATACTAAATTCTAATGAATTATTATTATTTTCTAAAATTTTCAAAAAAAGTACTGACACAATGTGTGTATTCTAAAGCTTTTATCTCAGTGCCAGGTACCTGTCATGGCTCAGCTCAATAACTTTACAAGAAAATCCTGTCTATACTTTGAATGACTCTTATATTTTAAAATAAAGCTCATACAGAACAATTAAATTTCAGCTATTAAGAAAATACACTAATTTACACACCAGCTAGTGTAGGGTGTGACATATAGTACGTCTTCAAATACTTATTGAAATAATATTATTTAAGATTATATAAAATTTGGTTCTTACTGTTGTGAATTAGATTACATATTCCAAAAGAAATTATTTTAATTGTTTTGAGTTTTGGTCTTGCTTTTAAAAAGCAAGGAATGCAATCAATCAATTAGTAAAATATAATCAAATAATAAAAACCAAAAGCAGTTTCTCCACAATTCTTTCAGTATTTTAGTTTGACATTTGTTATCCATTAAGCCTAAAAAACAACTATGCTTCAGTTCTGTTTACAATTTAGATAGGCTCACTTCAGTTTATATTTTTTTTTTCCTTGAACTAATACCTACCAGATCCCTGAATGGATTTTCAAAATAGAGAGGCTCTAGTAACCTGAATATGCACCATTTAGATAAGACATTTCAGAAAATTGAGTTTAATTTAACACTGTTCATTCTGTGCTGAATATTCCACCCTTCTACCTTTGGGAAATCTTTTAAACACATAAAGGCATCCATGGAAAATTTACTGAACTTGTTGGAAGAAAGCTCTAATGTTCACACTAATCTTATTTTTACAGCACTGGCTTTAGCACTGTTTTTCTGACATCAACTTATTTATTAATAAGATAAAATCTTATAACGAAGAGAAGTGATACTTTTTATAGACTAATCCCCCAATGATAAAACTATTTAAAAACACAAATATTGGAATTTAACGACATCTCAATTTTAGAAAATGTAAATGAAATATTTTATTTTTTACATTTTATTTATTTATTTTAAATGAAATATTTTAACTAAAAATTATTGATATATCAAGTGTAAGCCATCCATAACAACTTACATTACTTATACATAGAATATAGTAACTACATGTAATAACCAAGTTGTGGAGTTAAGATATAAAATGTAATTTATAGACACCCAGAGATGTTAAGACTTCAACACTCTAAAGAACTTAAAAAAATCATGTCAAGTGGTGACTTTTGTAACACACCAGGCTTTCCTTCATTTAACAAATATAGACAACAAATCAATAATGAAATGGATTAAAATTTTAAACTGAAGAAAAATAAAATCTGTCACCTAATTATGATCCCTTTAAAGTAGTACTTAAAAACTTGATAAAATGAAAAGACACATGGAAAACACATTTCAGAAGAACAACTGTTCAAATTCATTTAATCAGATTTTATATTCCAAACAGTAAACACATGCTCTGTACAGCAAAATAAAAGCTGCTTTTTTCCTATCGCTAAGATTTATTAGAAGTCAATATTAGTTAGTACAAGAGAGAAAGCACAGTGTGGATCTAAATGGTGTTTAAATAGTTAGATTTATCTAATACAGTATCTCTCTTCTGAAACTTGTGCAGCTAAGGTGCATGTAAACCGTGGACAACACCATCCTTATAGACGAGTTTCTCCCCTGCACAGGGCAGGGCCAGAGCAGACAGACAACAGCTAATAGTCAAAATCTCTGTTGCAGTGGCAAAGGGAGGCAGGGTGGTTCAGCACTGGCTCAGAGCCGTCACGTTTTGGTGAAAAGAGAAATCAAGGTATGCTCGATTGACATGAGCAACCATTTCCAGGGTTGATTTATCTAATGCCACCACAGAGGAATCAAAAATGGTGTTTTTAGAATCTTTCCAACTTCTGTAGGTATTTCCAGTAGTTTATATGTCAAGGGTCTTGGATAATCTCATTCTAGTGTACTTTATTCCTCAAACTGAATGCATAGGACACAGGAGGACCAGAGAGCGAGTGATCTGACCTGCATGCAGTTAATCTTGGATGAAATATAAAACACAGAATTGAACCTTATACACAGGCATTGCCAAGGTACATCACTTAATAATATTAACAAGAGTAATATGAATACAAAACATTCAGGGAAGTCATTATGCACACTCAAATACTATAGAGATATATTCATGGTAAAAAAGTAAAGACTGCTTCAAATATCTACCTTTCCAATTCCATTCTCTTCAAAATTAGCCACAGATTTATTGCAAAAATGAGTAATACACAGTAGTATTAACACCTCTACACATTAATATAACATATGTGTATTAAAAGTTGGTGAGTACTAAGGCTAAGGAGAAAACGACCAGGAAAAGGTATAAGAAGTACTAGAAGTGGAGGTGGTAGTAGAATTGGTAATGGTTATAAACCCAGTATTTTTATTTTAAAGCACTTATTTTTTAGAGTGATTTTAGGTTCACATCAAATTGAAGAAGATACAGAGAGGACTCATATTCTCCCTGGCTCTACTTATAGCCTGTTCCATTATGAACACCCCCTAGAATGGTGGCACATTTGTCACAAGTGATTTACCTCCACCAACACATCATTATCACCTAGAGTCAACATTAGGGTTCACCCATGGTTTTGCCTATTCTGTGAATTTGGACAAATTCATAATGACATGTATATAGCATCATGGCAGCACACAGAATCATTTCACTGTTATAATTTCCTCTGTGCTTATTATATTCATCCTTCCATTTCTGCCCAAACCCTGAAAATGATTAATCTTACTTGTACTGGTGTAGTATGTAGCTTTTCAGATCAGTGTACTTAGTAATATGCATTTAGTTTCCTCCATGTCTTTTCATGTCTTGACAGCTCATTTCTTTTTAGCACTGAATAATAATTTTTTATCTGGACACACCACAGTTTGACCAGTTCTTACTGAATGACATCTTGGTTGGTTTCTAAGTTTTGACAATTATGAACAAAGCCACATAAACATCTGTGTGTAGGATTCTGTGTGGATATTATATTTTCAACTTCTTTGGGTAAAATCAAGGATCATGGTGCAGGACTGTACAGCATGAATATGCTTAGTTTTCTAAGAAACTGTCCAAGTATCTTCCAGAATGCTTGTACCGTTTGGATTCCCCACCATTAGCGAGAGTTCCTGTTGCTCCAAACCTTCCACAGCAGATGGTGGTGTTAAGTGTTCCAGATCTTGGTGATGCTAATGGGTATGTGGTTTTACTTTGCATTTGCCTTGTGACATATGGATGAGGAGCATCTTTTCGTATGTGTGCTTGCTATCTATCTTCTTTGTGTCTGCTAAGGTCTTCTGGTCATTTACAAATAGACTGTATTCTTATTCTTGATTATACTTCTTTATATATTTCAAATAATGGTCCTTTAACAGATTAAGTCTCTCGCAATGTTTTCTCCCCATCTGTAGCACATTTTTCCATTCTCTTGACAGTACCTTTTGCTGAGCAGCAATTTTTAATCCACTGATAAGCTTATTTATCTCTATGTCCTCTAGTTCCATTCATTTTAAAGCAAATGACAGAATTTCATTCTTCCTTATGGTGGAATAATTTACACACACACACACACATACACACACGCACACATATATCTCACATTTTCTTTACACACTCATCTGCTGATTCTACCTTAGCTGTTGTGAGCATAATTTGAAATTAAAAGAATAGTATCATTGTGTCTGTGCTTATACAACAGTAATACATCATTAATATTGGCAACACACAAAATGAAAAATTTGGGTATAAATCTAACAAAATATCCACAAGATCTATACAAGGAAAACCATAAAACTCTGATGAATGAAATCAAAGAAAAAGTAAATAAATGGAGAAATGTTCCAGATTTTTCACAGATGGGTTGTCAATTCTTTCTAACCTTATCTACTGATTCCAATCAAAATCCCAGTTTGTTACTTTGTGTTCATCAACAAAATAACTGTAAAGTTTGTATGGAGTGGCAAAAAGCTCATGGTAGCCAACTCCATTTGAGAGGACCTGATATGACTGCTTCTCCAGACTGAAGACATTCTATAAATCTACACTAATCAGGACATTGTGATATTTCTGGAAAAAAAAAAAAGGATCATTGGAACAGAATAGACAGTGAGCAAAGAAACCCATAAATTACTGATCTTTTACAAGAAAAAAAGCAAAACGATACTTTTTCAACAAATGGTGCTGGAAGTTACTGCCAAAAAATTTTAAAAAAAGGAAGCTAGACATAGACCTTATATCTTTCTCAAATTTAACTTAAAGTGGCACATGCCTAACATAAAATGGAAAACTGTAAAACTCTTAAAAGATATTACAGGTGAAATCTAGAAGACCCTGGGTTTGGTGGTAAAGTTTTAGATGGAATGTTAATAGCAATCTATGAAAGAAAGAACTGATAATTTCAAATTATTCACATCTATAGGTATTTTTCATATGCTGATTTAATTTCCTTTGAATATACACCCAGAAGTGGGATAGTTGAATCCTGTATTAGATCTATTTTTGGTGTTCTGAGGAACCTCTACCTTGTTTTCCATAATTATTGCCGTAATTTATATTCCTATCAGTAGTATAAAAGATTTCCTCCTTCTTTGTATCTTAGTATTTTTTTTTTACACCATTCTAACTAGAGCGAGATGCAATCTCATTGTAGTCTTGATTTGGCTATTATATTGAGCATTTTTTCATGTATATGTGGGTAATTTGTATTTCTTCTTTTGAGAATTATGTATTCATATCAACTGTCCATTTTTAACTGAATTACTTGGTTTGCTTGTATTCCTTATTTATTCTGCATATGAACCTTTTGTCAGAAGAACAGTCAGTAAATATTTTCTCCATCCCATGAGTTCTTAACTGTGTTGACTGTTTCCTTTAATATGCATTAGCTTCTTTCCCTTTGTTTACATTTGCTATTGATCTGTTTGTGTATTTCTCTTTCAGAAATTTCCATGTTAGACTTTACATACAGCATATACAGGTGGAATCTATGCATCTATAGGCAGGAATCTGGAAACCAAGTTTAAAAAAGGCATATTACATAAGCTTTGTCCATAAGAGATAAATATCTTTCACTATGTTCCTGGGTAACGTGCCAGAGTTTAGTACAGGTTTCTTACCTAGTCTTAACACCATAATACTATGTTCCCCTATGAAACACCTCTCAGGATAAAAAATTCATTATAGCTCTTAATTTTACTTCTCATAACCATTTGCTTTTGGTAAACTCGGAAAAATAAAAGTAAAATAATTCATGCACTTCAATATAAGTAATAATATATTCCACAGTTCCTGGTGCTTGAAGACACATCATCTTATCAACAGTGAGTGCAGTGGGCTCACTCTGGACTGACAACATGGCCATGTGAAGAACTCTAGGGCTCTGGTTCTAGAATGCAGATTAAGCATATGTGACTGACTTGACTTCATCCTTCTGAAACCATGGTCAAATCACAAGGTGGTACAAAAGAAAATCAATCTGTAAAACTGAAAAGAAAAAGCAGAGAAGAGATGTAACAAAAAAGGTGAAAAGGGAGAACTGATAAACTTGTTGAAAAGCAGAAATCCAGTGGAAGAAGATACAGGCTATTAAATAAACAGAAAAAAAGCTCAATTCAGAAACTCAATTCAGTTCCGGAGTCGATATCTTATCTAGATAAAGCTCAGAAAGTAAAGAGGCAGATATAAAGCATGAGCATGGCGATCTATACAGAGAATAAGAACAAAATATACTTGTTTTGTATCTTTTCCAATTCTCCAAACCTCTGCATGCCAACCTTAACCCTAACAGCGTTTCAACTTCATTTTTAGCCCTGGGCAAAAAAGATACAAGCCAGCCCCCTAAAATTGTGGAACAAACTGCTGGGACAGTGCCGAGACTGACAAGGTTGTGTGGAATTCACCTCTGCTTTACACCTTCCTTATTGGCTCTGCTCACTGCATAGCTGATGGGCAGGTGTCATGGCCGGATCCCACTCACACAAGGAGAACATAAAATCAAGTGGGAGAACACACCTGTGCATATAATATCAGCAGAAAATGAGTGACAACTACTAAAAAAAGCAAAAAATCATGATTTTTAAATATAAAAACACCCAAATCTCATTAGACATATGAAGAAACAAACTCAAAGATCAAAAGAAATTCAAAATCTGACTTGAGGTAAAAACAGAAGAAAAGTAGGAAAGATTACAATCAACAAACCAATCACGTAGCCTATAAACCAACTACAATCATCAACCTCAGAAATTTTTATTTCAACAATGGTCAGTTCCTTTCTTTTGAGATAATCTAAGAACAGTGTAGTTAAAAAAAAGATCATTATCACAACCCATAGTAATCTTGAACCAAACTAATCTAGCATTAAGCTTTCATGGTAGCCCTGGCATGATGTTTGTGCCACTGTATCAAGTAGTACAGAAAAAAAAAGCTAATAAAAGTGAACCTTTAGATTTAGGTAATTTTGAGAATATAAAGCAATCCTGGTTTACTTGGAAATCTAGTGAACATAGACAAAGACATCTGTTTTGAATCACCTAAACATTCCGATTTAAATCAAGAATATTTACATACATGTACTCAAAATAAAAATATAGAGTAACATCCCAATTGAAGGGTGATGATGGAGCTCAGCACAGGCAGCTGACTCACCCTGGGAAACTGTGCTGAACAGTGCAGGCTCAATGGCGGGGACAGTCTGTGGAGAAGGCTGGATAGGATTACTCGTTACACCTGAAGATCAGAAAAGAACAAATGGGTGTCAAGTGTTACATCTCTTAATTATATATTAGGAAAGAGCTGAAAGAATCATGAGGGCATTTCATTATTTCACTATTCTTTTGACAACTTAATGGATTCCAAATTACATTTAATTAATGTTAGACAAAGGTACAGAACATATGCAGGAGAATACATTATTAGTGTTTACATGTCATGTATAATCCTTCAACTTGTTTTTCAATTAATGCTTACCATATATTTGCAAAAGTAACAGACATCCTTCCAATTTTTAAATTTCTTAGCCAATTAAATATTTTGGGGGACAAAGTGGAGCATAATTGCGACACAGTTTAACTTACGAGTACTATTTCATTCTTTGCATAAAATTCAAATTTTACAGTTCAAGTTTTAAAGTTAACTCCCTCCATACTGATTGAAAATAGAGCATTTTCACTGAACTCCACCCCTTTAAAAATTTATTTATTTATTTTTAGTTTTTTGAGTCATGATCTTGAACGTGTGGCGATCATCTTGTGTCAGTTCCTGGGGTGCTGGGATTACAGGTGTGTGCTACCACACCCAGCTTTTTATTTTTAATTTGGAGATAAGTCTCTAAGTTGCCCAGGCTGGGTTTGAACTTCTGATCCTCCTGCCTGACCCTTCTAAGGTACTGAACTTACAGGCCTGTGTCACCATGCCTGGCTCCAGTTAGCACCCCTTTAATATGGTATTTCTGTAGATCCATTAAGCAATTCTTTTTTACCTTCAGCTGGAACCTGTCGAAATTGTCATATTCAATGAGTAACTAGCAGTGAAATTAACATTAGAGTTGAAGATTATTATTCATCAAAGAAATTAACAAAAGGTATTAATATTCTTAAAAGAAAGACTTAAAATAGTTCATTTAACAGGAGCCAAATGAAGAAAAGTTGATTATTCCAAATCAATCAAGTCAAATAACTTCTCAAAACAAAGTTCATTTGCTCCAAACTAATAGGTTAAATCCAAACAGGTTACACTGGAATAGGCAATTTGTAGAAAAGGTTAAGTGGCAAAGGCATAGGTGAAGAAACGGGAAGAGAGGAAAGACAGAAGATAAAGAAATTTCTAGAGCCACAAATACATATCCTAATAGAGTATTAGAATGATGGTTTCACAAAGATTAACATAGTAAAATAGTTTTCCTAGTATGAGACACTGACTTTGAAGGATCTATTCATCTCCAAACCCAAGGAAAATAAGACTTTAAATTTATTTAACTATTTTACTTCATTTAATTTTGTATTAGGGCAAAACCTTCTTTTGTAGACATTGGAACTATTAAATGTCATGAAAATTTTACCTTTTAACTAAAAACTAAACAAAAAACCTTGAAAAATACAGGTATATAGGGGAAAAGTCAAGTAAAAATTTTAACAGTACAAAAAATATGTACTTGAAGCCATGTCTCTCATTCCTACTCCACTTTAGGGCTATTACCCATTTTAAAGGCACTGTGGGTTTTGTGGGTTTCTAGTCAAATCAATCAATCTATCTATCTATCTATCTATCTATCTATCTATCTATCTATCTATTTCACTGATGTTCTTTGCTAAGAAGTCTGTGCTCTTTCCTAAATCAAAATCCTCTAAATAAACCCCCTTATCTATCCAAGAAAGCATACTGTGTGTGTTTTGTAAATGGTAATGTGCTCTGCAAATATACTATACTGGATGTGTACTTCTCACCGCATATGGCTTAGCAGTAAATCCAGATTAACACATTTCAATCCGCCTTGTTCTTTTTAATGGTTATTAGCATGTCATTCTATGCATACACTATAATTCAAGAAGTAATCCATTACTGATGAGGATTTAGGTTGCTACAGAGACTACTGATACTGTTATCACAGGTCATACTTCATCCAATATTCTTGTACACGGTATATACATGGACATACTTAGAGAAAAAATTTATGTAAATATTACTGCAAAGTCAGGAGACATACAAATTTTTAATTAACCAACTTACGATTTTTTGCTTGATTTTGATAAGAGCTAAGCAAATACATGCATTTTGAAACTATAAATATTTGAAATAATTTCCCCAAAAAACCTGACAAACATTTCAAATACAAAAATAGTATTTAAAAAGTAGAATGTAGGGTCTTTAAAGAAAGTCTAGTGTTTTGAAGCAGGTGTACCTAAAATGTGTGTACATGATGGTAGATATTCATTACACAGATCCGTTCTTCTTTAAAAATGGGAAGTTTATAAACTTCAACCTATATATCAACTTGGTAATAATTTGTGCTTTTTCCTAAATTAAAATCTTCCAACCAACCACTTGACTGTTTTGAAAAGGCATAGATTTTGTCAGGGCCTGCTTTAACTTACAAATGCTTATTTGTACAGCTCCATGTGACTGTCTAGGCAATACTAACAAGAACAAATTGAATTTACAGGGAGAAAATGTTTAGTTATGTAGTAAAACTTCATTTGAGCAATATTAAAAAAAAGAAAAAGCAGCCTGCATCTCATTAAGTCCTACGCTGACAATCACTGAACTGCAACCAGAACTGCTGAGTGCCTGCTCCACACGCCTGAGGCGGCACAGCCAGCAGATGCTGCCTCTTATTTATCTAGAGGCTCGGAGGCCAGGCCACTGGCAGCCATCAGCTGTTCTCATGAGCCTAGAGCAGTGGCGCAATACACGCTTATAAATACCTGTTAAATTACTACATGCTGTTTACTTATTTGTGAAAATGCCCACAGCCAGTCATTCCTTCCTTCAATTTTGAGTTGGATAGGTCTCATTTGATAATGTGGAAAGAAGGGTTATGGCCCCCAGACTGCAGTCTGCTGGAGAGATGTGACTCTAAAAACACTACTGGAGGACAGCAGATTGGGTTTGGATTTCTTTTTCCTGTTATTTAATACAAATGAAGTGCTAAGTAACTTCTGATTAATTTTTTAAGTAGGTGCATATATAGCATATTAGATGGTATGAATGCATATTAAGAATTAAAAAGATTTCTAGTTAAGTACTAAGTTGCTGTACTGACTAAGTGATGTAGGGGTTGGCAAACAGGAGACATGGGTGTTGGTTGGGAAAGTAGAGAAGATTATACAAAAAGTAAACAGAACTCTGAGAGAAAGCAGGATTTACAAAGGCAGAGAAAAAGGAAGATATGCTAACCTACAGGAACAGGAGAAGGACTGGGCTCAGGAAAACCTCAGTTTAATGATGGGGAACAGCACTGAGGGAAAACAATAAATAGGTCAGAGTGTTAATAACAGAGCCAACTATCTAGTATAAGGTGAGCTGCATTTATAATTAAAGTATTATTATAACACAATTCTATTTTCTTTAATTAGATTTTTATAATATTGTAAACTGAAAGAAGCATGTGTTTCAAGAGGAAAGAAGGACACAATAACTGCTTCCACGTGATATTTGCCTGGTGGTTAAAGCACAAGAGGTGAATACAGTGTGCTTAAGCAACTGCTATCCCCGCTCTCAATGTAGCCCTTTTGCTTTTTTATGGAAGAAATGAAATCTGTAAAGTAGTACAAACTATTCTTTTCGGCTATCTTAAGGATTTCCCCTTGATAAAAGTGCATCCTGAACCTTTTTATTTGAGAAAGTAAATCATTCTTTAAGTGAGTTAGAGGGGAAACATCTGTTATATTTATAAATAAAAAATGTTACAATTTTTTTATTAGACAACTATGAACTGATTTTTGAAATATTGCAAGTAAAACAGAAAAGAAATCTGAGGGCTAAGACAGAGCTCAACGTCTCAAACCAACACTGAAGGGAAAAAGACTATCAGAAAAGCAGGGTTTGAAGTTGAAAGGATTTTAGTTTCTTGGAGGAAGGGACACAGAAAGGAAGCTGCAAAAGCTTAAGTTGGACTTGAGTTCAAATTCTGATTCTCTTACTGGGTATATCTGTTTTCCTGGGTAAGTGTTAATCTCTTAGACTCTAAAAAGAAGAGACAATGAATGATATCTAATATAGTTGCTCCAAGAATAACTGTATGAACAGCTATGATATGCTAAATGTATAAAATAAGATAGGTCCTCATGCTACAAAGGTTTTAAAGTGTTTAGTTATTCCCTTCTCTGAGGAGTGGGAAGGAGGGAAGAAGCGAGACAGGGAAGAGGCAGAGAGGGGAAAGGGAGAGAGGAAGAAAGAAATATAAAACCACCTATGCCCAAGGTAACTGGATCAAAATGAAATACACTACTGCCTCCTAATAACTACGTCATAAATATTTCAAGCAGTACACATTGGCTATGTTTGAGCATGTGAAATGACCAGTATTTAAAAATTTTTGGTGTACAAAAACAGCAATTTCATCAACTTAGTGTAGCCCTTTTACTAAAAGTGCTTTAATACCCACACATGCCAATATATATGTGGTGATGGGGAGACTATATATAGCACATAAACTACATATAATGTACAATGTGTATGTGGTAGCTCTTCCTTAAAAGATATTATCTAAGGCAATATCTCTTGGATAATCTTTCCATAAGGTTTTAAAAGTTTTAATCCTAAATGTAACACTTCTCTTGATTCAAAAAAATGATTTTAAATGTTTATTAACTTGCCATTAAATACCTTCTCTTTGGCATAAAAATTGGAAGGAAGAGGGAAGAGATAAAGGAAAAGAAGCTAATTTGCTGATTGTGGATTTTTGTGTTAGGTTTACTATTAAATTTTTATACTTTTTCCCCATTAAGAATTAAAATAGCTATGAAAAGTAGGTATGATTGATTTAGAAAAAAGAAAAACCTAGCTTGAGAGAAGTTGGACATTAGTTTAATTTGTGGATCAGCCGGCATGTGATTTAGTAGCAACTACTACACAGCATTAATTGACTCCTGAGAGCACCAGGCTGACCCCACCATGAGAATGCCTGTCTGGGATTCTGGATCAGTGCTGACACGGTCAAGTGTATTTGGGAATGTATTCATCCAAGGAAATAAACCAAAGTACTGCTTTCGCTTAGCTACTCTACGTTGCAAATCTGGAAGGCTTTTAAAAGATATTAAAATATTTAAAATAGCATGCCATGAAACTTTACTTAAAAAAACAAATTCAAATTGGTGTGCCCATGAAAGTCATCTCACAGATCAGAAGGTGCTGAAATGTCAAGGTAGCATATCCAGAAGGACGACAAGCGGCCGGTGCTGGGCTGTCCAGTTTTCAAGACAGAACAGGAGATTATCTACAGATAGTACAGAGCTGAGCGTTTTAAAATATGAAGAACAAGATGATCAAAATGGACAACCTTTAAATGTTACTTAATTCATGCAAAATAAAGGCCCGAATCTTGTCACCACAGTGCAATCCTGACTGAGAGCCTACAAGGAAGCTCGCTCACCTCACTGTTATTCTCAAACAACACTGAAGGACAGCAAAGGGAAGGAAAGAAAAAGTAAAACTAATACATACAAAAATGTAGAAACTACTCTTTTTAATAAACAAACTTAACGCACTACAATACTTGCTACTGCAAAAAGAACTGGATTACAATAACTAGTAAAGCCTCAATGAGAATTTGGTGTTCTTTGCAGGAGGTTAAGGGTTCTGTTATGCTGCAGACCATCATTATGAGGAACACATGAGAGAAGTGCAGTTCTTACTGACGAGAGGGGGGTGTGGACGTCTTACCTGTGCTGTGTGGCACTTCTGCGGGTGTGTTAGCTGGGGCGTGTGCACCCGGAGGGATCTGGATTCCACTATAGCTGCCTGATGGGATGCTGCTTGGGTCAAAAGCTGAAGAGGATGACGGCTGAGGTGGCTGAGTGGGCAGAGAGGCTGCGCCAGCATCTTCATTTTCTTCAATATCTATTAAACAGACACAATGTTAAAGTAATACAAATGTATTGGAATACAAACGTATTCTTTTTGCTATAATCACATAACCCCCCAAAAACCCCTCACAAATTCAATACTACTTCCTGCAGTTGATAAATAGGCTCCATCTCTCAAAATAAATGCTTTATTTTCTTAAAAATTAATTGTGCCCCACAACAGGCTTATCACTTCTTTCAGGTTAATACTTTCCAATTTTGTAAATTTTTTATACATGGTATATTTTTCTTTAAAATAAACCTTCTTAAAATGAAAAATCAAGGACATTCTGGCAAACATGTCACACTTATGTTATCCAGTATCAACTCTATTTTTTGGCTGCTGCCTTTCACTCAATATTTACTATGTACTAGCTATTAAACGACTATGTATTGTTCAAAGTATTAAGTTAAACAACAACAAAGGAAAAAACAAAGGCATGAAATTTCACATTTAGTTGTCTATGGAGAAGAGGTGAGGAGATACTTTCTTTTGAAATGTAGACTTCAGACTTTTAAAATACACTATATTGTTGGCTGATGGGGAAGACGCTTTAAAAAGCAGACTGATGAAGTGACTAATTTTAATAACAGACAAAACAGAATTAATAAGAAAAATAAACACTTCATTTTATAAAATTAAATAATTACAAAGGAACAAGGATGAGGCAAACATAAAGAGTATAGAAAAAAAGAGAAAACAAATATTATGAATATTAGGATCAAAAGAAAAGAGGTGCTATCAATAAACATTCTATTCACATTAGAAAGACAACGAAGAGAATAAGGAAATGTCAAATCAATCACCTGGAGGACCTAAGAGAAAGAGAACACTCAGTGAAAGATATAAACTACTACTACTTACCCAAGAGATGATCTGACTAGTACTGTACCTATTGAAGAAACTGAATTCATAGGTTTAAAACCTTCCGACAAACATGGCCTATATGGACTATGTTATCATGTAATGGCTCGGATTTTCCTAAACGATTATAGATTTCAGCATTTCTTGTGTGCTTATGTACCACCTACTCATTCTTAAATGATACGTGAAAAGGCTCAGCTGTCATTTCATCAGTGGATGGAGTCTTGTACAAATATGCAGATCCCTATGTAGAACTTAAAACAGTGAGCACTGTACACGTATGTAGAAATCATATAGAAGTAAAATATCACTTATTTCATCAGTGCACATTCATTTAATGAGCACTGATTAAGAAAAATATTATCCATGGAGACAGACTTCATAGAATGATACCAAAGGGCCATCGTTAGTAACAGGGCCAGCTGCTTCCCAAGATTTCTAAGATTTAAAGACTAGATAATTCCAAGGGTATTTAGTCTGTTTCAAAGCACAGAGAAAGATCAAGCGGGGCTCATTATGCAATGTAAAGTTAAAATATCAGGCAACCTTTTAACACAATTCACTATATTAATAGACCTAAGGGAATGAATTTGTCTGGAGTCAGCTCTGGCCAGTGGATCACTGCCTGCTTTGTAAACATGGCTTTGCTGGAACACAATCACGCTCACTTGTTTACATACTGCCTATGGCTACGTCTGCATTTTAACAGCAGAGTTGTACAACTGCAACCAAGACTGTACAGTCCACAAGCTTAAAATATTTTCTGACCCTTGTAAGAAAAAGTATACTGACCCCTGCACTACAGACGATCTTCAGACACCTAAAAGTTGTATAATAAAATGCAAGCACCATGTGGAATTTTCTGTTCAGAGAACAGTGGTTTTCTCCTTGTAACAGTTTACTGTACTTCCTAAGTGTTCAAGCAATGCTTTTCCTTTTCTTTTCCATCACACATATTCCATGACATAATAACTAAAATGCCAAGTGAAATAAGATGTTCATTTTTTCATGATTAAATATTATAAAACCTACATAATGTGTGGTGAGATTTTCATATATATAGCCAGGTGCAAAACAGTACACATATTACCAATTATGTGAAAAGAGAGAGGACATATATATTCCAATTTGCTTGTGAACTTATAAAAAATGATCACTATAAAGATATACAAAAAACTAAAAGTAAATTACTTGTTTGAGATTTGGTAGGATCTATGGAGATCACAAATGTGGTGCAAATCAGAAATTCACTTTGTATTTTTTATGTTCTCTATAATTTTTTTCAACCATGTGATGTATTACTTACCTGGCCCCTCCAAAAAAAAAACCAAACCAGACAAATCAAATACATATACAAAGTTAATACCGCGTTCTTTGTGGTTTGGACACATTTTATAAATTATAAATGGATTGCCTTTAGTATGCAGAAATGAAATTAGGTTAGACATAGGAGATAGCCAAGCCACTATGCTAACACAGAAAGATACGAGAGTAATTTAGCCTTGTTGTTCCCTATCCCTAAATTTATAGTTATACTTAATTTTCATGGAGTTTGGATTTGATAGTGTTCCTTCTAAAACTCTGAATAATCTAGTGAACAGTTATAATTCTACTACATCATTTACTTAAAACAAATAAATACATACCATTATCTTCCTCAATTCCAACAGGGCCTGCTTGAGGAGTTTCTCCATTTTTTAAACAATTATGGATGTATGTTGCCTTCCACCTTGCGTACTTTCTGTGTTTCACATTCTGAAAGAGTATTTTTATATTAATATTAGACCATAGAAAACAAGTATGTCTGAGATAAAACATATTTTTCCATTGCACATCTCTGAAAGAATCTGACAGTCTCCCCACCCTACTGTTCACTGTACCAACTATGGAGAGCTTGACATTCTTCATGAAAAGCTGTCTTTAAAACACATGCCTAGGGCCGGGGATTTAGCTCAGTGGTTCTGCTGCCTGCCTTGCAAGCATAATAAACAACAACAACAACAACAACCACCACCACACACATGCCTAATTCTCCTGTAGGGCATCACATTTCAGAAGAGGTCTGCAACTGAAGCATGGAAGTGTCCCTCCAATAAAATTTGGAACTTTAATTCACAAGAAATTGGCTAAATAGAATTTTAAGAGTAAATAAAAAAGATAGTAACTACAGATCAAACTATTTTCACTAAAGATTTGTACAAATGTATGAAAACATCCTTGGCTTCTCCCTTCCAGTCACATCTCCCTCACCTAGTACTCAGCATGATCTATCTAAAATATTAATAAAAACCCATTTATATCAATCATTTCAGTGGCTTCCCAATACACGTAAAAGTTAAAACAAGCACTACTTGGATCTTGATTGTACAACCTCCTCCAATGTGCCTATCCTGTTTACTCACTAATATCCAGCTCTGTGAGCATATTTACAGCCCAAGGCCCATATAACCCGTTCTTTCTGCCTTTGCCTCCCATTTTTTTCACAAGTGAACTCACCCCTGCTCAACTCATTCCTCTTACAGATCAAATGTCATTTTCTTCAAAAAGGTTTTCTTGATCTTCCCAATCTTACTCAGCAGTCTTCTCTTCAACAATATTTGTCACAATTTACAGGCAAGCCTCCATCCCTCTACCCACACCTCTATTCTTTGACGGAAACAGGATAATTATATATATATTTTTATGTATATTTAGAGAGCACTTCTCAATACATGTTCACATATGCTCTAGGAGGTATTAAAGGCATTAAAGTCAAGGTCTGTGTCTGCCTGTTGTTTATTCTAAGTATTTGGCTTTGTTCTAGCACACAGTATGCAGTTGTTCAACAAATACGCATGTCTGAAACATACGATCTCTTGATTCTGTTCGAAGTTATTCTGTCCAATAATGCAGATTATTTCTGTGATAGCATAATGGAGTATAATTTCTGTGGTATGTAATGAAATATTGGGGTTAGAAAGCTCAATTAAGTTCATTATATAGTTACACACAATTGGAAATTTCCAGTGTTTGACTGTTTTTGACCCACAGAAACAACACTGTTAGAAGTTCACTGTTCTTTCCCTTTATTCTGTGATGACAAAGAATATATGCTGAAGCCCTGAGGTTTCCTGGGGACCAACCAATAATACAGGGACTTTGGGGGATGCTTATGAACCACAGGAGTCTCACAAGAGTACTTTATCTTTTTCTTTCAGGGTTCACAATATCTTCTCTGTAGAGATGAAGAAATGCCACTATAAAATGACTTACTCAAGGTCACACTATTTCAGTAGTAAAGCAGGTTCAGGATTGCCTTGGTAAGCTATAATTACCACTGTAATTTGTAATTTAAATGGAAAACAGGCTTTAATAGGTCAGCTACTAAAATGTATACTGATATAGAATATATTTTGGTAGATAAACAATCATTTTGAAACTAAATGAATAAATTGCTTAGGAAAGTTTAAATTGCCTGCTTTTAAGATCTTTAAAAATAAAATCTCCAATCTGAGGTAATTTAATCCTGTCTGAAGTATCAGGAAAGTCATATTACAATTACTTTTGAAGGTTCTTTCAGTCCTAATTTCAGAGTATGAGCAGTGTAGATAAGTTTAAACCACATTGATTGGGTTCCTTTATTAGTACATGAAGTTGAAAACATTAGCTTAAGCTGAAAAAATGATTCATTTTAGTAAACACACTTAAAACGGTTTCCCCAAAGCAGATAAAGTAATAAAGTTTGATTTTTATTTCACAGTTCCCAGGACACCCTACTTGGCCAAACAGGCATGCATAATATTTAACAGAAATTTCTGACACTTGTTAGCCTGAAATTAATGTACTTCTTAATGTTTATTTTCTTTAAAATACAGAATGTTAGACATTACACAATACTTCAAGAGGAAATTTTCAAGATGTCAATATTTTTGAAATCCATTAACTCCTTTTGGCTGATTAGACATCCTTTCTGGGAAACAGGAATTGCATAAAGAACTTTTACTTTTGTCTCTGGCCTCTAAGTTCCTGTTTTGCAACTGAATTGAGGAAAATCACTGACAACTGCAAATTTCAGCTACTAGAATTAGCAGCAGTATACAAAGTCTTCATTTAATTTTTATTTCATCTGCACTTGCTACCCCCAAGAATGACTAGGTAGGAAAACACTAACCACCATAGAAGGGACGAAGCATTTTCAAATTCAGTGTACAAAAGAATGACATGAGGGTGTAAGTGAAAAAAAAAAAAAATTCTGGTCCAAGTTACAAAATATATGATACACGACATCTTCCAATAACACACCAAAGAACCATTTCGAAGTTTCATATGAGCTGCCTCCAACTGTTCCTTTTTGATTTTCTCTTGAACCCAGCCTACTCTGTCTTATGCCAACCACTCACTGTACCTCCTTTCATAAAGGCTACAGGTTACTTCTGTATTGCTAAATTCAATGCTTAGATGTCATTTCTTCAACCTTATCAGCATGAAATGTTGATCCATTCTCTTGCCTTGATTCTTCTTTTCACTCGGTTTTCTGGTTATCCAGGTCTCCTCCTTTTTCTTTCATCTTGCTGGCATTCCTTCAGTCCTTTATACTGGTTCTTTCTCCAGAGTCAAGGCTGGGAGTGCCAGACTCAGTTCTTAGACTTCTCATCTTCTCTTCCCACACTTTACCTTGATGCTCTCATCCAGGCTAATGGCTTTCAATACCACCTTTTCCTGACAACTTCCAAATCTGTATCTTCTCTTCAGACCTCTTCTGAACCTCAGGACGTATATATCCAAGTTGACATTTCACTTCCATCATATATGTTTGATCACCTTCCTCATCTTTCCCCACTAAATCTGTTCCTCCTCATATTGGTATATAGCAACTCCATTTTTTAACAGTTATTTAATCCCAAACCTTTGGAGTCCTTTTTGGGTCCTTGATTCTCTCACACTTTACCAATGAATCTTAGCTTCTGTCAGCTCATATTCAAACTTCATCCAGAATCCAATCACTTCTCATCAGGGCCTCTTACTGCAAACCCTGTTTAGCAACTATTATCTCTCACCCTGATTATTTAATAATGTTCTAATAGCTCTCCTTTTTACCATCCTTGTCCAGTTCAATAGAAAGAACAATATATTTTAAACACACGAACAACTATGCCTGAACTCACTCTCCCTGTGCACATCTCCTAACACTCTCCCTCCTTCCTCTGGATTTAGGAAGTATGCTCCTTGCTGAACATGAACAAGCAGCCTGTACCATCTCAGAAACTTTGTACCTTCTCTTGTGTCTTCTTGGAGTATCTGCAAGTATCCTTTATCTCCTTCAAGATTTGCTGCTGGGGATTTAGCTCAGTGGTGCCACTGCCTGCCTCACAAGAGCAAGCTTCTGAGTTCGATCCCCAGTATGAAAAAAAAAATTTGCTAAGATTACCATCTCAGTGAAGTCTTCCTCAACCAACTTATTTAAAAATTGACCCTCTTATTCCTACCTTGAACTTCTCCATGACACTTATATGACATGATATATACATTTGTAATTATTAATTTTCTTTCTCTACCACAGGAATGTGATACCTACAATGGCACACATTTTATCCACTGCTGACTGTTGAGCCTAGAACAATGCTTGCAACATAGAATTTGACAAACACCTGGTGAATGAACAAGTGGACAAAATCTGGAATCCATATTTTTATCAAAAACATCAAATGATTATGAATTTGGCTCAAAACTACACTTTAAAAAACACTAAGTTAAAGCAAACTTTTTTTGCTAGTGAATAAACATGTACACTAAACCTGAAGGTACCATTCGACCTAGGCATGCATGGAAGGGTTAGTGGATAGGGTTGAGGGTATCTGTGAGCACTCCTCCACTTATGCACAAAAGTACAATGCACACACTGAAGACAGAACCTGTGGTTTTCATAACATTTTCAAAGTAGTGATATAAAAGGGACTAATAATCTCTAACTTGGTGGTGACATCATAGGCAATAAATTTATAATCTTAGTCTCTAAATTCTCCCAGACATATAAACAAGAAGTGGTTTCTGTAACTCCAGAAACACTGGAATGGAACATGAGAAATGCTTGAAAATTAAGAATTAATTATATTTATTATCCTAATGGCTAAAATGTTGTTTTCTGTACCATTTAAGAGTAAGAGGAAGACAATGCATTCCCTTACACTTTCATTGTACATTTATAAGATCGAGGGCAATCTTATATACAACAGTTATCAAAAAACAGAAAGAAATTTAACATACAATGCTACTGTTTGATCTACAGTTATAGTAAATTCTGTCAATTGCCTCAATAATGTATTCTGCAGTTATATCTGCTCCACGTCTGGATCTAATCTAAGGAATATGAATTATTTAGTGGTGATATTCATTCAGACTTCACTCTGGAATGTCATTTGTTAGTTTTTCTTGACCTTGAGATTTAAAAAAAATACTAACGTAGCTGTAAAATGTCTATTGATCTGGATTTAGCTCATGTTTCTTCATGACTAGATTCATTTTATGCATTTCTGGCAGTACTGCCATGGAAGGGATGCTTATCTTTCTCAGTTCATCTTATCAGGAGTCACACGATGCCAACTTGTCCCGATATTGGTGATGTTAGGCTACAGGACTTGGTTAAAGAGGTGAATGACAAGTTGAACCCTTATAAGCTCTTTTCCTCTTTGAAATTAATAGGCAACATGAGGGAAGACATTTATTAGAATTCTACTGTAAAGAGCCTCCTCTGCTTTTCCATCATTTATTCATTTTACTTGTCAGTAAGGACCCATGTATTCTTATTCAGTTGGGTTATTACCCACTACCATCATTCTTACTTGGATGATAAAATTATTCCTGGCGTGAACAGTCAGAATCCTTTCAAGTTGGCTGCAGGGTCCCCTGATATTTTTCTGACACAAGAAGGTCAAGCTTTTCTTAATGCTTTCCCTGACCCAACTCAAGATTCAGTCTTTTGAGTAAGAGTCCTGGCTCTTGTTATGGAAGGCTGGTATTTTGAACCCCAATTAAGGCACCTGTAGGGCTCATTGCAACTAGAGTATCAGTGCTTCTGGGTCTTCTCAATATAGAGATATAGAAACAATGCTTTGTATGTATATTTACACAAAGGTATATATTATATATACACACATATACAGTATATACATATTTACACTATATATTAATGCAATATATTCAAAAACACAAATAGGATTCCTCTCATTTCAATCCAACATCACAATCTAGTTTTCTCCCATCCTACACTATAATTTCTCCAAAAGTAAAAAACCTATCTATTTTTTTTTTATTAGATTTGTCTGTTACAGTATCATATAAGAAGGGAATCATGCAGACTATATTCTTTGACTCTTCTTTTACTTAGGACATCTGCAAGATTCATCCATGTTTTTAGTTATACCAGTAGTCAGCGTCTTTTTATATCTGAGTAATGCCACAATTTGTTTATTAATTTCCTGGTTGGTAGACATCTGGATTGTTCCCAGCTTTGGGTTATTCTGAATAAATTTCCAATGAGTACTCCTGAACGGGTCTTTTTTGGACATATGTTTTCATTTCTCTTGGCTAAGTACCAGAAAAGGAACTGCTGAGTAAAACGGAAGGAGTTATATTTAACTTTATAAAAACCTGCCAATTTTTTCCCCAAACTAGTTATAAAAATCTAACATTTCCACCAAGTTGGAAAGCTCTTATTTTTCCATATTCTAGACATTTGATAGGGTCAGCCTTTATTCATTTTAGTTAATATTAATCATTTTGAAACTACTTAATCCACTGTTGAGAGCATGTTATAATCTCTAATGATTTTTGAATTTTTCTTCCAATTTCTGTCAATTTTGTTTCATATAATTTAAAACTCTTGCTATTAGGTGCTTATTTATAACTATGGTTTTTTGATTCAGTACTTTGTTGTTAAAAAATGTCCCATTTTGCTATTAACTTTTTTTTCCTTAAATTCTTTTATTGGTACATTTTAGGTATACAATACATTTACATTTCTCGTTGGGATCTTGTACCTGTACATGACCTATCTTGGTTCTTACTTTTTCCCTATTCCCTGTCCTCCCTTCACCCTCTCCATCCTTCCCTATTTATAAAGACTTTGTTTCTTTTTTCTTCCATTTCTCATAATTTTTCCTTTCCCTTCTTTCCTTTCCCCTACCCCTCCCACTTCCCCTACCCCTTTGGACCTTTTCTTCCTATTTTGCATTATCAATTATTCATTTTAATTATCGGTACATTTTTAGGTATACAATATAATGACATTCATCTTAAAGTCTACTTAATACTATTATGGTCACTTCAAATTTTGTTTACTTATTGTCTGCATTAAATGTCTTTTTTCCACTATTTTCACTGTATTTAAGGAATATCTTTTGTAAACAGCATAGAGTTAAGCCTCATTTTTATTCATCTACTCTAAAAATCTACTTTTATGCAGGAGTTCTGGTTTATTATGCTATATTGACCTAGTTGTACTCAAACCTAAATTTTTTACTTGTTTTGTGTTTGTGTCATCTTTTTTTCTTTCCTTTCCATACTTTTCACACTATCAAATATATATGTACATATAATTATCAAATATATATGTACATACAATTATTTCTGCTTACACAGTCATGTATTTTTTAAAGAAACAAAGAACATATATAAATCTTTTATATTTACTTAAAATATGTCCACTGTATATTCACTCCTGTAGATTGAAATTTCCATTATGTGTCATTTTCCTTTAGACTGAAAAACTTACTTTTAGCCATTCTTTAGATCTTTAGGGAAGATCTGCCATCAATGAGCTAATTGGCCAGAAAATACCTTTTACTTTATGTTCATTCTTTGAAGTATAATATTGTTGTTACAGATACATTTCTGAGTTGACAGGGGTTCTTTTCATTCTTCTTTCATGACTTGAAATGTAACACTTCATTCTTTTCTGGTCTCTATTTTTTAAAATGAGAAGTTAGGCATCCTTTAAAGCACTGTTATCCTATGTGCCATGTACTGTTTCCTGAGACTGCATTTTCAGGATTTTCTCTTTTACCACTGGACCTCATCCGTTTCACTTCGATGTTCTGAAGTGTAATTTCCCTTGTATTTATCTTACTGGGGGTTCACTGAGCTTCTTAAGTTTATTACTACTTTTTGTAACCAATTTGAAAAATCTCTTGTCATTATTTTTTCAAATGTCTTTTCTTCCTTTTTTTCTATTGTCTTTTTCAGACTCCAGATGGACTGGTTAACTTTTCCAAATATAGTAACAATAATACATAATGTCTATGTATTTCTGAATAAATTAATTTAAATATAAAGTAAATATATAGGATTGATTAGGACAGTTTCTTTTGAAATTTTCATGCACTGATAATATTCTTTCTAAATACAGAACACCAGAATACATATTATTAAAACATGGCCCATTCACCCATTCATTATTACATAATAAAGTTATGCTTCACATTCAAATTACAGACTGAAATTATTTTGGAGTTTGAAGCATTTCAGATTTTGAATTTTTGGACTAGGTATGTTCAAGAGGTACAGTCTACGTAGATAGTCCAAAATCCAAAACCTGGAAACACTCTGGTCCTACACACTTTGAATAAGGGAAATTTAAACATGTTGTACAGAAATCAAGAGTATTTAGAAAATTCATAGGAAATCAGGTTTATGTTTTGTATATCTTTTTAAAGTTTCACTTCTCTAGTAACTTATTTGTTACTTGAATTTACATTTTATAAAACTGTTCATCTGCAAAGGATTAGAAATTTAAGAAAGGATTAAAAAGAATAAATCTTTATCACAGTTTGATAAAACTGTGATATTATCCTGGACTATAGCACCTGGGACACTGTACTTATTTTTTTTATGACTTTCAATTTTTACACTATAATTCAGAATTATGAAAAGTGAAGCACAATATATGTAACATGTGTAAGCACAGTACCAGGCAAATAGCAGGTGCTGCAAGTAGATAGCTTTCCTGTATTTCTTCATTAATATAGCATATATCATCACAGTTACTCTGTGCCTCCAAGTTAGATTACAACATCCATGAAGGCACAAATCTGACTATCCCATATTAGTGGAAACAAAAAATAAGAACAGTATTACATTTTACCACCAATTTTCATATTTTTCCAAAGTTAGTAATATTTATCTTTTACCAAAGATTATGACTGAAAAGGTAAAATGTTATCTATTCCTGAAATATTGCTAGTATTGGAATAAATCTAAAATACAATAAAATGAAGCCTATTAAAAACATTGATCACAAACACGTTATACACTAAGGTACTACAGAAAGAAAATAAAGTATTTGTATTCTGAACATCCTTTATAAAATTAAAAACAGTAATATGTACTCTGGTGATTCTCTCTGTAAACCTTACTGATTCCATGACAGCCACAGGAATATTAGAAGCTTACAAAACCAATTAATTAAAATACTGAGAAAAAATTTATAAGGCACAGATAAAAGGGATAAATACATATACTTAAAGCACAAGTAAGAGTTAAGAAACATAAAAATGGCAGATAAAATGGTTTTTTAAAACTAGAAACAACAAGGCCGGGGATTTAGCTCAGTGGTTCCAGCGCCTGCCTGACAAGCGCAAGGTTCCAAGTTCGATCCCTGGTACCAAAAAACAAAACAAACAAAAAAACCCCTAAAAACAACAAAAACCCCAGCTGAAGACCAAAGAAAATGTAGACTAGTTTTATACAACCATGAGCAATGATATGAAATTAGAAAGGAAAAAATCTGAGGAAATGGACCAAGAAAAATGCTGTAAATGAGATCTACTAAATTATTTTTTATTTTTTATTTTTTTTAGATCTACTAATTTTTTACAAGAGTTATAAAAGAAAATTCTGGGTAAACAGTCTGAATATTATATCCACCTATGGATAAAAAAAGGAAAAGCTGACTATAGCAACATTTGAAATATCAACTAATTAGCCACTATTTTATTTTGATCGCACTCTCTATACAGATTCATAGTTAATGCCAAAGAAGCCAGAAGAATGAGACAAAGCCTCCTCTCTCCAAGTACTTGATTAGAGATGAAGCAGGAACAAATAGGCCTAAAATGTCTTTGCTTCTGGAATGTCTATCAAATAACAGTGTAGAAACTTAACACAGGATTAATAGCAATACGAACCCTTAAGAAAATCTGAACTTGTGGTGTCCAAAACAGTAGCCATACATATGGGGGAGAGTAAAATACTTGGATTTAAAGAACTTACTATAAAAAATAAAATATATTATTAAAAAATAAATATGATTTCTATACTCTTTGAGAAAAAATATTTCACCTCTTTCTTTTTAGTTTTTAAAAGTGGTTAATAAAACATTTTTAGTTACCTTGTTTCCACCAATTTCCGATGGACATGCTGCTCTAATAGCATAATAAGAAAACTGATAAAAAGCAACATTACTTATCTTCAGCTACTAAGACAATAAAAAATGTACACTCACTTCATCGGTGAGTTCTCCAAATACTGTTATGACATCTATTAAAAGGCTTGCAGTGTAGAAGGACTTGATCATATTTCTGGAAGAGAAAAAAGAACTGGTCTAGTTTAAATGAAAACATTAAAAATGTACAGTACTGTCATGCAAGAGAAAATTCCAATGTTTACAAAAGCACTCTGAAGTTAATGTTTTCAATAAAATCTAAGTTTGAGGACACAATGGAACTCTTCTGCTAATGTTACTAGAAGAAAGCAACAATATTTACAAGCAAATATACTATGACTGTATTTTATGGTTTTGATTTTAAAAAATGTAGATTGAGTCCATTTCAAACCATAACACATTTCTTTGTATTTAAATATTATAATTATAAAAAATTATATATTATTATTACAATAATTTGAATTTGTTGGAATATTTTAAAAACTTATTTTGGCTAAAATCAACTCTTAAATTTCACTAAATGTTAAATAATGGCTAACGAGGGAACATTTGCTGAGTTGTCCTGGGTTGTTCTTCCTTCAGCCATTTTCCTTAAAAACTAAGGGCCACATTTGTGACCCAAAATCATTCTGAGGGTCTCTGAAAGTATTAAAAAAAAAAAAAGTAGGTAAGTAGTAACTAAACTTATAAAATCAATTTTATGTTCCTCTTTACTTACTTATGAAATCGCCCAGCACGATCTTCATTATCTGCGTACAAAAACATTTTCAAAGCGTAATTCTCCAAATGAGCAGAACCAACTATTTCTTGTGTAATAGCTTCATTATCACCCAACTGTTTCTTAAGCTAAAATAAAATCACATATACAGCATATGAGTTTGTAGGATCACAATGGTCTACTTAAGCACAAATAAGTCTAATAATCATTTTAAGTAAATTATATTTATTTCAGAAGGACATATCATTGAAATCTTTCAAAATAAAGATGCTATATCTCAGCCCAAAGTATTTAAAATGAAAGCAAATTCTTATACAACTATGAGCAAACAAACTTATAATAACCTAAAAGTATAATTTAGCTGTGAAGACCAAAATAAAGAATAAAAAGATAATATATATCTAGGTGTCCTTGTGTAGCATGAGACAAATATTTCTAAATAATAATATACCAGGTATTATCTGTTACTATAAAAGGGAATTTAAAAAAGTTCTTACCTAAGCACATACAATTTAAGTTTTTAATATATTCCCATTTCAACTTCTTCTACAAATATAAAAAACTATCTCTCAGAGCCCAGTGTGTTAAAAAGAGATATATCTCAGGCTGGGGATTTTGCTTAGTGGTTCTGGAGCACAAGGTCCCGAGTTCAATTCCCGGTAACAAAAAAATAAAGAGATATATCTCTAAGTAAGGTATAAAATGACAGACTCAGAATCAGATTATGGAAGCTTCTTAAATTTAAATGCCTCAAATTAACACAATTTACAACTATGTAAATTGCCAGTTTGTATAAACCTTTATATATAATAATTTAAAGTATTTTCAAAACAACACAGTTGCTACTTTTTACTCGACTGTCATAATGGGTTATGATTTTCTGTAATTTCAGATTTGACCATCGTATTGTTTTTTAAAAATTGCTTTTATCAAAGATGTTATAAAGTGAAAAATTAAATTTAAAAATGGTCTCAGCCAGCCTGGAGTGAATAGTGACTTCAAGGCCAGCCTGAACTAAACAGCAAGATACTGTCTCAAAAAAAAAAAAAAAAAAAAAAAAAACAGATTTTGCTTAAAATCCTATACTCTCATAATTTAAACAGAGGAATTTAATGTCTACAAGAGATTTAATTTGTGAAGACAAATGAAATTTTAGATTTAATTCTAAAAAAATTTCATTGGAAGTATGTTATTTCATCTTCAATAGAAAATATCTGGCAAGAAAATCGTAATGGATTTTAAGTTTTTAAATTGTAAAACAAATATACCAATGACAGATGAGTCTTCACTGGGAATAAACTTATTTTACTTATTATTTCAACTTCTGATTAGTCCCCTCATAAATATGATTTTAGGCTCTGTTCACTATAATAAAAGAAGTTTGAGTTTTGTCTTTTCCAAAGTTATTGCCTTTGCTGTTACTGTTACACGGTACTGTGAAATTAATAAAGAGATATATTCTCTTTAAAATTTCTTTGGGAGTTGGAATTTTACAAATATATTGCATTCATGAATACATTCTCCCTCCAGCCCTAACTTAACCCCCCAAAGAGTATTCAGGTTTATCGTCTATCTAGAGAAGCAGCATAGAGATGAAGTCCAGACAGGCTCCAGGGGCACCTGACTTCCCTCAGTGGTGCCACCAGGCCACCATGGGTGGTTAGCTGATGACAGGAGTTCTGAGTCAGGAGGCCAGAGTCACACCACGTTAGAAAACCACTACCTACAGCTGCTCACTACAACCAGCCTGGGAAGTTGTGTCCTGGGGCGAGCCTTGATCTGAATAATAAATTTCCAGTGATAAAGAAAAACAATGAAAGTAAGTTCTGGGTTGACTAGTATATATATTTTTATTTCATGTGTCTAAATTTTGTTTCCCTAAGCAAAAAATACAACTGATCAAATAAAGAGGTTTCAGCAGGGTGTGGTAGGAAATGTCTATAATCCCAGCAGTGTGGGAGGCTAAGGCAGGATGACTGCAGATTCAGTCCATCCTGGACAACTCAGTGATGAGGAAGACCCTATTTTACAAAAACAAAAAGGGACTGGAGATGTACTCAGTGCAATCCCCAGTACCACCAAAAAAAGTTTCTAAAGTTTCTAATTCTGAGTAGTTTACATAACTGAACAAACAGCAAGTAAGCCACAATATCAATGTTAACAGTCTTGGAGGAGGGAGATGGGCCAATGTGGACTAAGAGAGAAACCAGGGAGAGACAGGCAGAGGAGTTACAGGAGAGAGCCCTGATTATGAAGTATGAGGACTATGGCTGGGAACCACATTCTTTATGCACCAACATCCACTCCAACTCATTCAATTTCTCCTCCACAGTGACCTGTGAAGTTATATCATGTTTAAGAATATGACTCGGAACAAGTCACCCATCACACTCCTGCAAGGAGGGGAAGGATGCCTGGACCACAGGAGCATCTTGCCCTGGCACTAAGAGAGGAAGAGGCTACAAGCAATTGATAGCATGTCCTTCATCATCTCTTTCACCAAATACATAACGCATTTCATTATAAGAGCTATTTAAAAATTCCCATATCAATCATTCATGAGATTGCATGAAAAAAGTGAGAAAAGATTCATCACTTATGAAAGAATAAACCAAAAGCCATGTACAGCAGTGTGGAAGAAGATATAACATATATGAGAAGATATTTGAAGCTACTTTAATTTAGAAATATGGTGTAACTTTTTAAAAATTTTATGTGGTTTTCCTCTGGTAGTATAATGACATTGTTGAGTGCAATCAAGGGAAAGAAATAAATTACAACACACACACACACACACAAAATAAAGTAGCATTTAAGACATAATCAGATAATAAATTATCTTTAACTTACAGCTTCTAATTGATCCATTAGCTTTGATAAAAATTTACGACATTCAGGAGTTTTACTATCAATCTTCATTCCAGTTTGCATAGCATATAACCGACCTACAAAGAAAAGAAAATTAAGTTGACATAAACAAGCATATTTTACAACTTCCTTTCAAGTGACTGAATGTTTATTATATGTACATGTTTTGTCTAACAAGCAATTTAAAATTTAACTACATTTAAAATAAAATTTTGATTTCCCATGGATTTGTAAATAGAAAGAACACAAAAATATTACCCATGATAACACAATTCACCAAGCAAGACTTCCTCTTGTAGCATTATATTAAAAAAAAAAAAAAAAAAAAAAAAAAGATAGAACCTTAATAAAAGGGGCTACAATTTAATTGCCAAGAAAAGACACCCAATACAGCATAGAATTGTGAGAAAGGAGTCTTGAACCTGGGTTATTAGGGAGAAGGTTTTAGTCATTTTTATATATATTCTCTCTCTAAATAAACAAGCCTCTCATTTGAAAAAAGTTAATACAAACATTAGAAATAAGACTAAAGCTAATGAGGGTGAAAGCACCACCATTTTACTAGCTTTCCTTGTGATAAGATCCATGAACAGTTTTGGTGGTAACTACTGTTATATTGTGTAGATACGTCTGTAAGTCACCACTTACATAAATTCAACAATATGTCCTGTGGATCAGTAGCAGCACTACCATTTCCAGAATATACATGCATCATTTTAACTACAACACATCTAGGTAGTTCTCAAATTTTCATTTTTACATGTGATGTTTTTCATGGCTACAAATGATAAAGCCCTACCTTACTTTCTTGGGCATACATGGAAGAGTTCCCTGGGCTAGATAGCAAGGGGTGGAGTTCCTGGTCCAGCGTGGTAGGTCTTTTTTCATTTCATAATCCACTCCTAAACTGCCCTTTGTTGGGAGCAATGCTAGATAATTCTAGGGGAAAATCATTTGATTAGGCCTAGTTCTTCCACCTACAGGCCAGCTATGGCATTCCAAGACATAATTCCATTTTGGCCTGGGTCACAACTGAGATCTCAATGATCCTGTGATGCTGTAATGCTCCAGGACAAGACCACACCTGTGGGAGACACCCTGAGAGGAACCAAATCTTCATCTGTGTAGTTCCTGGAAGGAACCAAATCTTCTTCTGCACAGTTCCTCATTGTTCTTAGATTTCCACCGCCCCCCAGTCTTTTGTTACACCTTGTTTATCCCAATGTGAAGTACTGAAATCTACATATTCATTTGTTACATTTGTTTCTCCTGATGTACTGAATAAAAGGTGCTGCAAGCTAGGGGTTTTTGTCTGTGCTGCGCAGAGCAGCACTGATCAGACCCAAAGCTCAGCTTCTTCTCAGTCTCATTTGTCTACCTTTCCTGTAATTCACCATGTGCTGCCGTGGCTCGCAGGAGACTAGGACTTGCTGCAGAGGTCCTGGTAACATCCCCATCCCCTGTTCCCTACAGCCCTTCAAAATAGTACCAATATACAGTTATAGCTATAATATATTTAAGTACTTATTTTCCTTAAGCTCACAAAAAATTGGTATTATTCAATTTAAATTCTTGTCAATCTGAGGATTGAAAGTGGTATCCCACGGACTATTAAAAAGTTCTTAGATATTTATTAGATAGCTCTGTTTTTCTGTGAATCAGAAATGGCTATATAAAAATATTTAGCTAGATTGGTTTTTAACAGCTTTGTAGCAATTCTTTATACATTATAAAGTAGAGAACTTTGTGAAACTATTCCTGTCTCTCTACTTCTTTTTAAAATCATGCAATCATCTTCTGTTTACTTCTGCTTGGTTTCTAATTAGAATTTAAACTCCATGACAATGGGGATTCTAGTCTTTTAGTATGCTGATATACTCCTGGCATCTGGGCTAAGGCTTGGTTCCCAATAAGAATTTTCTGAATAGATAAATGCATGAATGAAAGAATAGCTCATTCTCCTCCACTGATTTAAATGTCACTTTTATCATTCATTATCATATATTATGTTTCCATGGGACAATGGTGCCCAATGGTCTACCCTACTGTTTTATTTACTAGAGCTGTAAAATAGAGTTTAGAATATGTTAGTTCTTTTAGAATTTCCAGTTTAGTTATGTCTACCTAATAAAATCCTCTTTAAAAATGTGTATAGTCACCTACTTATCGAACCTATTTGTGATTTTAATTTCAGTGATTTTATTTGAAATATTTTTAATGATTAGGTTTTTAGGGCTATCTAGGTTACAGAGTTTGAAATTTATTTATTGATGTATTTATTTCCTCATAACAAATTTAAGGATTTGTTCCATCTAGGTATTTAAGAGAGGAAAAAGAGTTTCAAAAGTGTCCTACAGATTTTCACTGCCATGTGGTGAAAAGTACCATGTGCACACGAGCTAGCAATGGACATTATTTTGACACACAGATACTATTTTGAGAAGCAAACAAAACAAACCAACAAAAACTCAACACCTTAGTTTAAATATCTACTGCTTTGCTCACAAATGTGCCTAAATCAACCCTCCTTTCTTCCCCTTTCTTCCCTTTCCTTTTTCTCCTCTTCTCTTTACATAAGCAGCCATATTCTTCAGCGAGTTGTCTAGATTCTTAACCCACTTCCCATTCCAGTCAATTGCTCCGACCCTCATCAAGGCATGGTCATCACACACCTCCTTTTCAAAGCACTTGTATCTCTTAGTTAGCCAAGATGTGTGCCAGACTTGGTCAGCAATTCAGTAATTTCTGTTTTACTTAAAATTGACAACTCTGACCACTTCGTTTTCATGAGTTGTCCATGTTGGTTTTTCCAGGGTCTGTGTTGCATTTGCATCTCTGTTTTTTAAAATGCATCACATTCTTGAGATAAAAAATATATTGGCTACAACTACTATACCCACTGTTTTAATTTCTGAATATTGTTTCAAGATACAGAGACTTAGCATGTTCATATTTGCAAAATTATTTGTGACTTTTTCCCTCCATCAAATTGAAGCTTAGCTTTTTGCTTTTTTATAACCTCCAGAGGCTTACTATTAAGTTATATATAATTTTTTCTGGCTTCTAATTATTTTCTTTTTCAAATTTAACTCTAACTTGTACTTCCACCCTAAGAGATTAGCATCTGTTTCAAAATCAATAAATAATCCGTTCCCTAATGATTTATGGTTCTTTTCTTCATATACTTTCACTTTTTATATTTTGGTATGGGGATCGAACTCGGGACCTTGCATTTACAAGACAGGCAGCGGCACCACTGAGCTAAAGCCCTGGCCCTCACTTTTTATATTTTGTGGCTATTTATTTTCACTGAGATATCGAATCAAATGTCATCTCCTTACATGATGATTTCTACAAATAATAATACACTTTTCTTTCTCCAAATTTAATTTATGCCTGTGCATTCCCAAAATTTCCGGAAGGATGGTGAGTGTCCTCCTTCTTATTTTGGAGAGGAAGATTTCTAGTGGAGGGTGGGTCAGTGGCACACCAGGTTCCATGCCAAGGTACTCTTATTTCTCCTAAGAGAATCGCCGCCCTCAGCTATATTGAAGCTGAGGCCTTTGAGACCTATATAATCCCAGGGTGCCGCAAAACAACCGGCTGGGGTATGGAAAGAAAATATTAACACTTCTATTGATATTTTTATCCTCTCTTAAAACTATTTTTATGTGTCTCTTACACTATACTGAAACATGATGTGCAATAAATAATATACTAATATATGGAGATTTATGTTTAACGTTTTGTTTTAAAACTCAGACACATGATAAAAAGGGTGAGGATCACTGCTCTACTGCATTCCCAAGCCTCTCAACTATGACCTATACTTTTTTGCTCTAATCTTGCTCAGGCCTCTTTTTGACATCTACATCCCTTCTACCCTAGTCCCCTAGAACTATTGTTTCATGGTCATCATACTCTGCAACATCTCTTCTGGTTTGCTGTCCTTTTCCAGATAATCGAGCTCCAGTACTCATCTTGGACTACACATAACCCTGGAAACAGCAATTGGACTGACTGGTAGGTTTGAAACTAGAATGAGTTTTGGTCCCCAAGAACATCAAGGAGATGGCTCAGTGGCAATGGGTATGGCCAATGAAAGACTTTCCTTTAAACAAAGGAGCAATTTCTTATTTTACTCAGCCACTATTATTTTAGATTTCCTGCAATAAGCAAGGAAATCTAATTTGAATGTAAACAGAGCAACATGTTCTTAATTGTTACTGAACCCAATAGTTTTATGTACTCTCCTTCAGAGACTGGTCACCAGTAATTAAATTACCATTCTCAAACTGTTGTACAGCCAAAATAAGTGTATTAAGTATCCACTCTCTGGAATCTCCCTTTCTTACAATACTTACCTATGCACATTACTATAAACTTCCATTTCACTGGGGATTTTTAAAATTCTGAATTACAATCAGTCTTCTCTCCTTTTACTTCTCTCTGGAACCAGTTTTAACCTTACAACGTATTTTTCAATATTGTTACTGTCCTATTTCCTTCTATCTCTAAATTGTTTTATTACATCCCTCTGGCAAAAAACATACTTATATATTAACTCAGCTACCTATCCTTTTCATCTATCCCTGAGTCTAAGCTGCTGAAACTACTAGCAGATCAGTATCATTGTAAATATCATTATTTTCAACCTCAAATAAGCTTAGTACTTGCCTTTCCAACATCCCAAATGATTATTTCAAACACACTTCAATGTCTTTAAAACAAATACGTACACACAAAACTTACTACACATTAATTATTTGCTATCTGTATTTACACTGACATACAGATATGTCAGATATATGGTAACATGACAATTTGAGTTAGGATAGTACTGACAGCTTCATTTCTCTAGGAGATCTTTCATCATATCATATTTTCTTACCATAATGAACACTGTACTTATGTGATGCCCACCATCCATGGAGCATAGTTAGGATAGCTACATGGTAGATAAATTTTGGGGAGAAATGTCATCCAGCATAGGTAACAAACAGCCCAGGCAGTGAAGAAATGAGGTTGATTCCTAGATTTACCTTGGTTTTGAAAATATTTCAGGATTAAGTGAACACAGAAAATTAACTCAGCATGTTCTTGCCACCATAAGAAAGCAATTTATGTCATTGTAAAAATTCTGTTTTGAATTTGTTACTTCAATTTCCATTATTTACAATAAAAAGAGAAAATATGTGTGCGCATATGTCCTTTGAAGCAAAGACAAATTGTTCCCATTTCATCACTACAAGCATTAACATTCAACTCTTATCATTTAGAAAGCAGTCTAACAATACTAGGAATATAGCTTAATAGTATGGCTTATCAGGTCAGCCTATTCATATTTTTTTTCTTGGTTTACATATATATCTAGTCTTTGCAATTACAGAGATATTGTTATATAGTAACATTCTTAATTGAAGTGTTGGATCCTTTCAGAATTGAAAAGATTTAGAACAGGAATCAGTTTGGCTTTTACATTTTTAAATAGGTTTTATAGTTTACAATTGTTAAGTACAGAAAATGTTTCAAGAGGTACATTCTCTAACATTAGTAAAAGTGAAAAGACCTTAAATCTACTTATGAAAATTAATAAGTACACTAAAATAGTTTTGCCATAAGGATGGAAAAGAGTACTTTCATATAGAACTCCGTTCAAATATAAGTGATTCATCGTACCAAGAGAAATATGATGAAAAATTAATGTCTATCATGGAAAATACCTAGTAAAGCAGAACAAAAAAGTGTGCAGCTAAAGTCGTCTATAAGAAAATACATCTGATTTATTTTATCATGGAAATGTGTTTATTTTTATGAATAAATATTATTTGAAGATGACTAATGAGACATTTTTGCAAAAGGATTAAATACTTTCCAACCTAACCTTAACTTAATGTGAAGCATTTAGGAGACAAACATGTACTAATCCTGAAGGTATGTGTTATTCAAAGTTCCACAGTCTGAACATTAACATTATAATATATCTCGTATAACCATGAGAAATATAAAGCAGGACATAAGCACATACAAAAAGGGCTATTAAATCAATGGTGAAGAATGGTACTTTATTAGATTAAATGTGGCACTCACAAAGTTTGATATACATTGATTTTAAAAGCAAATTTCAGCCACGTGTGGTGACTTACACCCATAATCCTAGGGTGCTCAGGAGAGACTTAAATACTATACTTTAGTAGTGGTATTAACCTGTGCTCAGAGCAAAGGCTACTTTATACCCACTCCCAAAGCTAGAAACAAACAACAAAACAAAATAAAAAAGGGCCAAACTGAATTTGAAATAATCTTTTTCAAGTGTTGGCCAGGTCAAATCCTTTCAAAGTATGACCATAAACTAGATATTCAGAAATTTAAAATGCACAGTGACCTACACCCAATCTAAAATTACTAAAGATACCACTAGAAAAATGTTACCTATAACAAAAATAAACAGTTCAAGGAGATAAAATAATGCCAAAAAAATGGAAATAGCAGATGATATCTAAAAACTTGGGAGCTATTATGAAAATGCTTAAAGAAAACTGTGAGTAAAAAGGAGAAATGGAGCATACACAAAGGAACTCACAGGGAACTTCTAGAGATGAAAAACTACCTGAAATAAAAATTACTGGATATGATTAAGTACAGATACCCAAACAGAAATGATTAGTGAACTTTGGGACACAGTAATAGAAACTATCCAAAGGAAAACAGGGAGAAAAAGGATTGCTAAAAAAAATTATTACCTCTTATGAAGTTATATACTATATACTATATGACAATAGACTGCAAAATGTTATTTTAAGCCTTACAGGGACCTCTAAAAACATAAAGGGAAATATCTTGCTCACACAACAGTGGAAGAATCATGGAACCTTAAAGAAAAAATATTCCAATTATCAAAAAGGAGAAAAAGAAGAAATGAGAGCAAATAGGTCAAAAAGAAAACCAACAGCAAGTTAGATTTCACCTCAAACACATTAATAATTACATTAAATATAAATGTTTTACAGAGTCTAATTAAAAGGCTGAGGCTGTCATACTGGATAAAAATATCAGACTCAACAATATACTATCTTCAAGATTCCACTGAACTAGAGTAAGAGTAACAATAATAACATTAAATAAGTAATTATCATGACTCATGCACTGCTGTGTTTAAAGTGGAAAAACCAATTCACCAAAAATATTATGAAGCTAATTTTATCTACTATCCTGAATGTACTAAAAACTAAATCTTACAAAGTGAAGTATATTTGATCAAAGTCATACAGCCAATAAGTGGTAGGCTTAGATTTGATTCAAGTACAGTCTGGCTCCAGTCATTGTACCTTGCATCCCTCAAGACATCTCTCTTCACACATCATCCAAAATTTATATGTAACCACAAATTTTACATAGATGGGACTATATATTTTTTATCTTTTAAACTATACTATAAGCCTCTTTTAAACAACTGTAAACTTCATGTCATTTGCATAACATTCTATTATATTAATGCACCATAATGGAACTGAACTTGCCCATATGTTATTTAGATTTTCAATTACAATATATCTATTATTTAAAAAATACTGTCAAGAATATCGTTGTCTATTTTTACATTGTCATTATTTGTTAAGTTCTAATAAATTGGACTACCATATTAAAAAGTCCAGTATTTATTCCCTTCATATGGAAGCTGTTGATCAATCTGTGATCATCATAGACTAAGAAGATAGTCTAGCAGAATCTTATTGACTCAATAATTTATGAAGTTTTTCTTTTTTTTCCTCACAAGAACTGAGGCCTAAAAAGACCAGGAGGCACCAGAAGTTATAGAACAACAGATAGTAAGTATGAATGTGTATATAATTTTTAATCTTGAAAATGATGCCCACCAGAGAAAACTGAATGGAAGTGAGGCAAAATGTTAATGATGACTTAAGTGGGAAACTGAGTAGTTATTTTCTTTATTCATTCTTATATATTCCAAATTTTCTATAATGAGCATGTATTAATTAGATCAATGTTTCTCAAGGGTGTGCAAAGCGATATTGTCTCTTGAGGGAGCTAGAAGAGTATGGAGAGGCTTATGGTTTATTTTTTAAGTTTTACTTATTAGTGGAGTATCTGGGGGGACAATTACCATTTAGAACAATGATATCCTGAAATGTGCTGTGCAGTTCAAACAACAAATAATTGTCCCTATAAGATGCTAATAGTATTTCCAAAAAAAAAATAATAAATTGAAGTTAAAAAACAAAAACTAAAACAAAACCCCCGATAAGCCACAGGGGGATAAAAAGTAAATATAATAGTGCCATAATGAAGTAAAAACAGGAACTTAGTAAGCACTGTTACTAAAGCCTATTATACACAATCCTGTGTTGCTCAAAAAAGTATAAGTTTTCACTCTGATCAAATATACTTACTATAAAAACAAACCTTATCAAAGCTACTACATTGATGAAAGTTAAGGATTATTATTTGATTCCAATCACCCAATCCCTTCAACTTTAGTTTTTTTTCCTAAAGACCTATAAGATGAAATGACTTACATTACCTAAAAAAAGGGAAGGTATTAAAAAGACTATTTTTATAAAATACAATCCATGCCTGCATATGTTTGAGAAAAGAAAAGATGAATGGACTGTTAACAGATAAATCAGTAGTTCAACCTTCTGTCTGTCTTTATTAGCCTGTTATTGCTAAGGTTGAATAGACTGAGTTGGTCTACAATAGAACAATGGTAAATACTTAGTAAGACTATGGTCTCCAATTTATCATTCAGATTCTAAAACCAGCAAAGAATGAAGAAAAGAACTCCTTCTCCTTATTGCCTTAGCTAAGCGTATATGACTGATTTAATAGTTGAATTTGTGATTAATAACAAAAAGTAACACATAACTGATCATTAATGCTAATATCCATGTACTTACTATGTATTAATGTAAGATATCTATTATTGAGTCTTTAAGCTAAGTTTTGCTTGTATGTCCCATAATGTCTATGAACTGATAACCATATGCATTTTCAGCCTCCTAAGTAATTTTCCTAATGATCATATGAAAAATAAAATCTCGTAAGAACATTTATATACTTTCACTGAAAGTCTATTAATTTTACAAGGTCACCCCCTAGAGGAAACTTTGCAAAAACAAATTTAAAACTTTACACATGTAGTTACACCAAACTTAAAAAGGAAGAAATGCTCATCCTGGATATAGCTTTATCTACAGAACCAAACCAGGCAATGTAAAAATATTTATCATACAGTGTCCGCTGTTAATAGGGACTCAAAGTATTTGCTGACTTTATTAAAAAAAAGAGACATAGAGCTAAGAGACGCAGTGTTAATAACTGGAAGCTTGTCCTTCATTTGCACTTTCCATTTAGGACCTTCTTAGATTATTTTATTGTCTTTCTGCCCCCTTTTATTTATCATCAATTTAACTATTCCTCTTCCCCTCACTCACTACTGCTCACTCAGCAACTCCAATTACTACCTACACATTATGCACAATATTCCATTCAGCTGCTTCTCATCTGATATCTGTCATTCAGGTTGTGGTTTTATTACTTAGTAACAAAAGGATGAGAATGACTGTGGAAACCAAATCAAATATCCTGAAGGAAAACACTCACAAATGCCAGAATCTCCTGAATGTTAGTTGTCTGCCTTCTTTTTCTGGGGACAACCACAGGGACAAAGTACTCTATGGACCAGTGTTACCTTAAAATCCAGGTAAATTTAGCTAACCTTTTTTGAGTAACTACTCTTTATCATGTAAGTATCTCCAAAAGCCTAGCACTACTTGAGACAGTAAATAAATAAAGAGCAGCCAAGGAGCAAGACTCTTAAGTTTACAGTCCAGAGAATAGCTGGGCAAATGAACAAGCAACTAAGGTAAAGCCATGTGACACAACAAAGACAAAAAGAAAAGGAATCTTAAAACTAGGGAACTTAAGAGAAGGTCTTCCAGAAAAACTGGCATTCAAGATAGTACCTTAAGAACAGTGTAGTTGGAAAAAGAAAAGGTGTGGAGGCAAGAAAAATAAAATACTGCAAGACTCAAAGACAAGAGAAAGTAAGGTTCCCAGAACAGATGAAACTGTTTGATTGAAACTACAAAATAGGATTCAGAATCTAAACCATGAGTGATCACTGAGCACTTATTTTTTTCTGACTGTCATACAGATCTATCTACTACTAGTGGCTTTAAAAGTTTTTGCCTTTTCAAAAGATTGATCTTACTTTTTTATAATATGAAACATACAGAAAATAGAAAACTAAAAGAGACAAAAACAATCAAACAAAAGTAATATCACCAATAAATCTAAAGGCATAATCTTTCTACAATCGCACACATACATACATACATGTATACATGTACACATATATAAAGTTCAGATCAGTTCTGTGTATATATAAAATGCTGCATTTTCATATAACTCTCCCGGATTATAAAAGATGTTCTGTGATTTTTTTTTTTTTTTGGTACCGGGGGTTGAACTCCGGTCCTTGTGCTTGCGCAGTGGGCAGTGAAACCACTGAGCTAAATCCCTGGCCCTGTAATTACATCACTTTCCATCTGGTAGATAGAATTCACTCAACCAGTTCCACAATAATATATATTTGTACATGTGTGATAGATACTGTTCTGGATGTTCTGCATAAAGTTCTTAACTGTATTTGTGATTACTTCCTAAACAGAAGTTCTCCAAAACCAGAATTACGGAATAATAGATAGTTAACATTTTACCAAAGTATCTTCAAAAACTTTGTACCAATTCACAGAACCATGTCATTGCAGTTTACCAAACTCATTTGCACTGAGTTAAAATTCTGTACTAAAAAAATGGCATACCATTTTAAATTGCACTTATTACTTACTAAGCTGAGGTTAATAATTAGGTCCTTGACTACTTATTATTTATGGGGATCTTCATGTAAAAAAATCAATATGTATGAGCATTTTATGTATCAGAGATAGTGATCCTTTGTCTCATCTACTGGAAATAGGTTTTCTAAATGTACACTGTTATACTAATTTGTACTGTTTGTGTCATACAGAATTTCTAAATGTTTAGAATCCATTCCACCATTTACTCTAGGTTTTTTTCACTAAGCGTTTGAAGCAGATCTGTCTAGTAAGCAACAGGGGTCATTTGTTTGAAGTACAAGCTATAAAGCTTTGAAAATAGAATTAGGTATCAGTGAGGATATGATCCCAGAGAAACCAAGGAAAAAAAAAGATTTAAAAAATTTGGATGAGTGGTTGATTTTGAGTGTTCTGAGGGAAAGAAAGAAAAAGTTCAGCTTCTAATTTCCAGCTAATAAATTTGAAAATATAGTAGAAATTTTTAACATATCAACAATGGCTCACAATTTTTCAACAGAATAAATATAGCAAACTTCCTAGAAAAGCTCTAAGTCCTATTTGATTGAATTTTTAAAAAAATCTACAGAAAGACATAAAGCTGTTTGCCTTTTAATCCAACTCAAGTATGGGAAACATAATCTCAACAGTATTTAAGAAACCAGCATAACACTGTTAACAAAATAACTTGAAAAAAAAGGTGGATTAATCTCACTTAACATTCTTGGGAGAACACAGAAATTAAAGCAGACTAGGACATTAAGAAAAACACAATAAAATACACAGATCTGACAACAAAAGTAAGATGAAAGAGAAAAAAAGAGAGGAGAAAAAAGGAAAGGAAAAAGCAATAAATTAGATACCACCAAAGTAAAATCTTTCTGTCTATGAAAGACCCAGTTATAAATACAAAAACACAAGCTAAAAAAAGACTGGGAGAAAAAATTTACAGAAAAAGTTATCTGACAAAAGATTAGCAACTAGACTACATTAATAGTGCTCCAAACTCAATGATTTAAAAAAAAGACAAAATCATGAAGAGACACTTCACTGAAATGACATAGTGAAGAAAGCACATGCAAAGATATTCAATGTCATTCACCACCACAGAAATAAAAATTAAAACCACACACCCATTGGAATGACTAAAATAAGATATAGTGACACATAAAATGCTGGTGTGGATGTGAAAATACTGGATCATTCATCATTCATATGTTGTTAGCAATGTATGTATGACAGTCAATCTGGAAAAGTTTACCAGTTTCTTATAAAACTAACATGCAATGATTATACGATCCAGGAATTGTACTTTGGGTCTTTTATTTCAGAGAAATGAAAACTTAGGCGCACAAACAAACTGTTAAGTGAACGTGTTAGCTTTATTCATAGTCTCACAAATTGGAAACAATTCGAATGTCTTTTAACGATTAAAACTGTTAAGATGCAGCATATAGATACCCTGTAGTTCAGCTATTACTAAAGTAACTAACTTGGATGAATCTGTAGAAATTACACCAAGTGAAAAAAAAGTCAATTCCAAGCACTTAGGTAATGTATGATTTCAATTACACATTTTTTAAATGATAAAATTTAAGAAATGTAGAACAGGTTAGTGGCTGCCAGGAGACTGATATGAGTCACTGGAAAGCAGGCATGGCTATGAAAGCACAACACAGAAAATTCTTCTTATGAATTGTTCTTTCTTGATTATGCCAAACTGCTGAGAACTAAGGATATATACCCATAAACAAATACATGAAAAATCGGGGAAAGTCTAAGCCTGGTGGACTGCAATGATGTCAATATTTTAGTTGTGATAATGTACTATAGTTTTGCAAGATATTACCACTGGGGGGGGCACTGCATTTTAGGTTTAGAAAAGGATGTTCCCCCACAAGTCTCCTGTGTTCCTAGGAGCAGCTTGCAGAAGATGACTGGACCATGAGGGTGCCATCCTCATCAGTGGAATCATCCAGTCAGTCAGTCCAGGTGCTCACTGTGCTACTGAGGGGTAGGAAACAGCTGGAAGGGAGGGTTGCTGGAGGAGGGTGCATCTCCCTTCCTGGCTCCTTCCTTCACTCTCTCTGTTGCCCACCATGACGTGAGCACTTCCCTCTGCCCTGGCCCTCCTACCATGCTGCTTCTGTGTTTAAGCCTGCTGAACATGCACCAAATTAAACATGTCCTTTAAATTGTGGGTGTTTGGTACTTGTCACAGTCATGAAGAAAGTCATTAAGATACTGGGTAAAAGGCAAAAGTAAAAGACAGGGTCCCTTCATATTATTTCTTAAAATTGCATGTGGGTTGAGAATTATCTTGAAAGAAAAATACTGATTTAAAAAAGAACTAATGGGATTCTTTACTGGATTGGAGGAATGTTCAAATATGAGGAGACTTACTAGGTTGTTTTTACTACATTGAGAAGTTCAAGTAGGGAAATAATACTCATAATAGCACCTCCATCAATAGTCAAAGTAATCTCATATACATTGTTTCAATATTCATTTCTGGACCTGCCCCCAGCTTGGCCTTGAGGTCAGAATGGTCCTGGGTGGCTGCACCCTGCTCTGTCCAGCTTGCCCCGCCCACTTGCATCCAGGAGAC